TTTTTTTTTACTCAGACTCAGAATAATTTGTCTTCTTCTAATAGGGCAAACCTCTGCATAAATGGAGTTTGCATATTTAACAATAAACTGTAACAGAAAGGGTTAAACCGAGAGGAAATATTTATCTGAATAAAAGAGAAAGCTTTTACACAGAAGCAGAGTAAACTTGGTTCACTAAGCATGGGGCAGAGCAGCCTGTCTGAGAATAAAAGGTTTTCTCTGACAAACCTCTTGGTCTGCCTAGCAACTAATATACAATGTACAGTGTTGCAGGCTCCAGTAAGCGCTTTGTGACTTAGAAACACTCGGCAAAGCAATGCCCACATCTAAGATGGTGGCCCCGCCTGTCCGGATATTCCAGGATGACCATCATATGTATCACAATAGAGGACGATGTGGTTTGGAGGCAAAATAATTCAAGAAGGAGAATGATAAATATTTGAGGTAGAGGTACCCAGGAAAATAGTAGATGGGAAGAATAGAATGGAAAGTAATAAAACAAATATTTCAAATGAGGCTATACATCAATTATGCAGAAGGCTCAGACCTAAACAGACTTTATTACAATAAGTTTAAAATAGCTGTAATGTGACATGAAGAAGAAAGTCACACTGAGGGGAGGCCACAGTGAGAGAGAACTGTTCTATAGGGACTGACATATTGTGTCATATTCTGATTGGAACAGTGTGATTTCTGGGTTTTTTTTTATGTTCATACCGTCCTAGCCACATCTCCTCTGCCTGTGATTTGCAATCTCCCAATACGCCCCATGTAAAGATAGTTCTAGGTCAGGGGTAGGCAACCTTTTAGCAGCACTGTGCCGATATAGGATGGTGATGTCCCGTAGTGTGCCGATCCTATTTTTTTAAATTGAGGTGTGTATGCTGGCGTATTCTGCTTGTGTTATTTTTACTGTAATTGCTTTGTATCGTTGTATTTGTGCGTATATGAGCTATTATATTGTATATGTTCATTAGTAGTTTGCGGTATTGTGTATGATACGTATGAATGTGGGCTGTGTATGGGGGCTGCTTGTAGAATTGTGTGTGGATGGATGTCACATTGTGTGTTTGGTAGTGTGTGGGGCCTGTTTGTGGTATTGCATGTGAGAGGCTGCATGTGGGATTGTGTGCATGTATGTATATTGTTAGTGGTGTTGCGTTTGTGGGGATTGTGTGTTGTGTGTGTGTGTGGGGGCTGTTCATATTATTTGTATGAGGGGAGGGTTATTCTACATTTCTGTGAATATCTAGCAGTGTGGGTGGGTTCCAGTGGGGACCAGGCTGGCCAGGTACAGGTCAAGGACAGGAGCTGCGATAGCTGTCGAGAGCTGCTCTACTACAGTGTGGATTCCCATTCACAAGTGCTGGGAGGAAGTGATCTGAGATCACTTACTCTATGTGCTGCAATGCATCAATTGAGGTTTGTTCTTCACCACCTCTTCGTATTAGCAGATATCTGAAGTTTCACTGGGACTCTTGATAGGCCAGAGCCTGTTTGGCTCTAGCAGCCTTGAGTGCCGTTCAAAGACACCTCGAGTGCCGTACATGGCACTAGTGCCGTAGGTTGCCTACCCCTGTTCTAGGTTTTTAAACTTACTTTACTGCACAGCATATTTAATTTGGAATTTCTTTGTTAATAACCTGATGGAGGCTGCAGAGACCTCCTGGGTGGATTAAAAATGTTTTTAAAAGGAAAAGTGTAAAAAAAAAAAATAAGGCAACTCTGCTTTACTTGGAAGAGGCTTAACCTAACAGCCTCTAATGCTGGTTTTCTTATCCCATTAGCTCTGTCCAACTCAATACAGCAATCATACAAGGTTGATAATGTGCTCCAACAAACTACAGTAGTTGGGATATAAAGGTAGGTGCAAGTGGTTTAGCGTAAATAATCCTGTTGCCAAAGCAATACATATTCCTAACCTACCTCATCACTAGACTACCCAAAATGTATTCTCCAACACTGCCACTAGGCTGGGGTAGCAGTCCCATTTGGACAGATTACGTCCATATACAATGGTCATGCCCTAAGAGAAGCCAATTTTGGAACAAAGTAGGGAAAATATGTACAGACCAGATAGAGGCAGACCTCGATTTCACGCGCGTGTCGAGATGGGCAGCAAATATGGGGAACTACTAAGGATCAACACAACATATTTATTTATGGGTTCTATTTTTCTCCTCTCCCTTTTACTTTTTATTTTCTCGGCGCAATGTATTTCTTTTTTTTTTTTTTACATTAATATGAAAAGTGATTAGAATACATGCATTATTTTACGTGATGTCTTTTACAGTCTAGCAGTTGATTAAAGGGCATCTGTCACCTCAAATCTAGTTATTTTTTTAATATAACAATCCTTTTAGGGAATAGATTGAATAGAATATTTAATGCTCCTGACATAAGTGTAAAGTTCAGAGTTAGCAACTGAATTAGACCTAGTGGTCATTTTTACTTCCTTAGTGTTTCCTCGTCTCATATTAATCTCTGTGGGAGACATTGTAGCAGTCTTAAATTACCAGGTCTCTAACAGTGACATGTAGCCTGGAAACAAGCCATGAGTTGCTTATTTTGCCAAGAGCCATTTTCAGTATTACCAGCTTTTCAGTAGCCGATTGTGACATGCACAAAAACACAAGTCCAGTTTTGGATTAGACAAAGTCTCATAGATTGATGTTGATCTGCTTCAATTACTTGGGCTAGGTACTACTACTCTGGCCCCTGTATGTATTCTTGGTGGGTGCCGAGTTCCCATTTCCACATTTACAAATATAAATATGTGTATATTTAACTGTAGAATTCAATAGGAAGGCATATGACCATCAGGCAAGTAAAAATGCTCCACCCCAGTTTTCAGTGACCAAGCAAATTTCCCCAATAATTGTCTTTTTCAATCTGAAGCCTAAGCAGATTTAGATAAAATGTTAAGACTGGGCTAGGATAATCAAATAAGAAGGCAGCCGGTAATTATATTAACTTGACAGGTATCTATTAGTCTATTACACAGCAAGAAATTATTTACCTGTTTTTGAGCACAGTAACCTGTGCAGTACTGGACTACTTCTGTATGTATTCAAACTGAATGATTGAGCTCTATCGTAGTAGTCTACCTCTACATGCAGGTATATGCAGAATGAACCTTTTTTCCTTACATGATTCGTGATTCAAGTTTATTTTATCCAAAATATTAGATGGAAATTGTATTTAGCCGCACTGAAAGGAATCAATAGTTTTGTTTGCTTTTTAGCTTTATAGAACAGATAATGTTAAAGCACAAATGTCAAATGTTTTTTTTTTTTGTTGTTCTTTTGGCCAGTCCTAAAAGTTACTTGCCACTGCAAGCCTAGGGTTTCAAAGGCACACTCATCAGGGATGAATTTCTTTGTGCCACTGCTGGATTTTCACGTGCCAATTGCTAGTGGGCAAATGGAAATGAAATCTAATTTTCTAATGACTACTTAGCAGTTTAAAACTCCTTTTTAGTGCTTCTCCCAGCTTACCCATACTCTTAGGGTTGGATATACTATTTTTCTGCACCCTTTAAAAGTGCACTTTTGAGATGACATGCATTTGCACATCATATCCGGATTTGTGTACATTCTGTAGTTCTTGATTACATGCATGGCTTTTGGTGGTATAAGTAGTACTTCCAAAACAGGACTTAAAAATGGTGCAAACATATAGTCATAATTCGGGATGCACTGAAAAGGATATAAAATTATATGCTTTGCAAACTAATATACTCAGAGGCTGTAAAACATCTAACATAACATTCTAAATAATAAAACCCTAACCATTTAATTTAACACATTTTTTGCTGTAATATTATAGGCTATGAATGGGTTACTTTTAATCCTTATATGTGGGGAGCTGTGTGGTGTTAAAACAGTGAACTACATATCCTACAGTGTCTTTGAAGAGGTACCATGTTTATAGCTAAAAACACATTTATGTGTATATGGTCCAGCAGCACTTGTGATCCTTGTCTATGCAGTTAATTAAAGTTGCTATGGTTTCATCTGTCAAGGGTTTCTTCTTTGGGTACAATATACTCTGCTTTTAAAGTAAAGTGAAGTTTGCAAGCTAACAGGTAAAATAAATTTATCTGAAGTTCCTCTTCAGCCTCATCAACATGTCTTTTCAATATGGAAGGAGCAATTGGACAGCTGAAATGTTATCTTCTTTAAAGTTACACCAAGTAATTGGTCATAGCAGATGCACTTCAAGTGAAATATATGATAAAGTTATCCTAAGAACCTGATGGCAGATATAACCACCTGAACCTCTCGCTTGTTGGCACAGCCGTCTGAGCTGTAACAAACCTCAATTGCTAACTATTCACCTGCCAGAAACCACATTCATTTCATATCAAACTGAGAGGCAATAAATCAACAAAAAAAAATTTTTTAATATTTTTGTTTTATCATTTTGGATTTTTTATTTTTTTTTCTTGCTAAACTGGTTTTGGTATTGCAATTTTAATTGTAACTATTTCCAGGGAATGTAAGTTTTGAAAGTTTTTTTTTTTTTTTTTCTGTATTGGGTGCCCTACATCAAATGTTAAGCTACAATAATAAAATTCTTTGTTCACCATACCTTTCAACTTTCTAATGGTTATTTTTTACGAATAATATGTGGGAGATCTCCAGTTTGACTTGCATAATGGTGAGGGATGTGGAAAACTTTATATATTATATATAAGAGATAGGGATTCCAACACACTAGGGTTCTATTAATTGTCACGCTAGGAGAATTAAAAGTATGTGTCTAAAGCAATGGTTTTCGAGTATGTGAGATTTTGTATTCGCCTAGTCTCTGCAGGCGCTAATCTGCATGTATTTACATGGAAGAGTCTACATGATCTGTCCGGTGCAAATTGGGGGCATTTTGTTATTCTAGATATTTGCCAATATCTACTTATACCTTTAAATTTTAATTGATGTAGCATTGCTTTATTGAACTTAAATTTAAGAGACACCATTTGCTGGTTGAAGGGTGCCTTCAACTATTAGTGGCTGGTGGGAAACCAACCATGTACCGTATTTTAAAAACAGATGAGTATTGACTGTGAGACAGGAAATGGTCAGATAAGAGAGGTATGGAGCATAGTCAGGCCAACTGGATCAACATCTGCATGCTTCAGACAGGTAGTGTGGAGGCATTGCCTAATCAGTAGGCTAGTAGCCAAATCTGGAACACTATGCAAGAACCAGTAATGACGTGTAAACTAAATTAGGAACTGAGTGATTCTTGGCAGTTATGGGGAGCCGGGAGTCAGGTAAAGAACTCAGGAACAAGATAATAGATAACACAGATAATAAGCTATCTTGTACTGGTTCCCTAGCAAAGCACTTTTTAATTTTTTAGGCTGTGATGCCACAATACCCGGTTTGCTTCCACACAATCCAAATCCTTTAATGTGTTTGTATCCACAAAGGGTGAAGAGGACTGTGCATAGTTATAGCTGCCTCAATAGTCAAAAACATCTCTGCACAATATGGATCTGAGGAAGTGTAGAAACATGCTGAAATAATCTATTCATGGTCAAGGAATCAGAAGGCCTAGTACGTGACGTGAGACGAAGTCCTGTTTTCTTACGCTGTCACCATGCAAAAGTGTAATTACAATTCAGTTATGACAGTCACAAAGATGGATAGAGATAAAGAAAACAGAGGGATGCATACAGAAATATAAATGCAGGTTAATATAGTATGTAGCTACTGGATATTAATATAATTTAATGCTGTAAAACTGTTTAACATAGCTTTATTTTATTTATTTTTAACCTTTTTGTTTCTACGCTATAGGAAGATTAAATCCAGGGAAGTGAAACGTGGGCAATATCCCACTGCATTTAACTAACACCTCTTTGTTCGTGCTTTAATGAATTTCTTTTGATTTTGAACATTATTACAGAAAGAAGAGAGCCCTGACGTGGAACATCCTAAAAAAGTATGAATCCATACAGTGTGTTTAAGTATACTTTTCAAACATTTCTGTCCTCTGTATGAAGACTGACTTCTAGGCTTCCTTTCTCTTCAGTTTTCCATTAAAATTTTCACTAATCATGAGTTCTTCACCCTTTTCATTAACGTAATATTTTTTATATTGACTCTACTAATACATAGCTGAGATGTACTCCTGCTGGCATTGTTTGTCTTGCATGTATTCTTTGCGTCAGAAGACTTCCATTTATCAATACTTAATTAGTTTTAGTTATTTTTTGTTTTTGTCTTCAGAATATCATGTTTCTTCATTCAACTGTCTCGGGATCTAGTGTTAGGACATCTTCTTTTTGTTCAAAAGATCAACTGAGTGTGTTCATTTTGCTCATGGCATTGTTATAGTACTCTGTCCTTTACTTCAAACAGCCTCTACTGTATAGTATCAGTTTCTGCTTTGTATAAGTGCCAGTGTGTTTTATATTTTGTAACTCAATTCTAGAATTCAGTGAACGATTGTTCTTTTTTTTTTTTTTTTCATGATTTAAAACTGAAGATAAAAAACAATATGATACCAAACAATGTTTTGAAATTATCAGTATAAATTGTATATCCTTATTTACGCTGTAGATTTCTAGGGCTCTAAAACTGACAAATTTGATTCATTTGCACAATGAAGGGAATTACTCATTACCTGTCACTAAATGTGGAAAAATTGCAATCTAACTTCTAAAGTGCATATATTTGACTCCTATGTTATCAAACTGCCACACCTTCCACATTTTCTAAATAATCTTAATGTGACATTACTTTTTAGTGCTTTTGTGGTTTACAAACATACTGGTTTAAAAACTAGAAATATTATTAAATCCATCCTGTTTTAATATAACAATTTATTTTATGTCTTGTGGTCTTGTATAGCGCACTTTAAAAACATTTTTTGCTTTAAATTAGTAGTGAGGTCCTGTGCCATCATAAACATTTCACAATCAAATATCATACATTTTAAGTTTGATCTTATGTTAAGACAGGATGGAACACCACTGGTTCATCAGGGTATAAAAAAAGAATAAATTGTCATGCTGAATGCTATGCTGGAGTATTTTGGATGGAAACATTATAGCTCAGCTTTCTTGTTAAAAGTAGACTATGAAGTGGAAATTGGCATGTTCTCAACATTTTGTTGAGATTAAATAAATACTTCCCATTGACAGCTGTTAAAGTTACACCTTGTGCAACAATACATTCATTATGTTTTTGCGTAACCCTTTTCTCCTTCAGAACTTCGTATTATTTACTACTATCAAAAGCCTAATAAATATTTTTTGCATCATTACATTGTTATACTACACATAACGTAACAGCATATAATTAATCAGTCATTTATAATTACTCAAATAATTAAGTGCATGGGGTGTCAGAATGATGGCCATCAGATGCCAATGTACTACACTTCCCTTATTTATCTGACATTCTATAATCCGTTATTAAGAAACCTGTGAAGTGTAGATCAGAACCCCTGATGTATGGTCTGCATGGTTAATTATATGGTCAACGGAGAAATTAATGCATTTATAACATGCTTTTACTGCTAATCCCAGAGATCATGACAAATCAATTAACAGTTATAGCCTCTGGTTACTCTGCTTAATTACCAAAAAAAAAAAGTTGTTTATGCTGCTAACAAATATCTCTATAGAGAGGAAATTTAATATTTCTGCTAACTTGGAACTCAGGATGTGAGAGGCTTCACCAATCATTAGACACTATTAGGGTGGATTACGTGATGATACAAATTAATCTCCGGATAAATCAATATCTTTCTTATTGTGACAGTCCTGATATAAGTGTTCCTGAAGGTGTGTGTGCTAGGACAGGTGACAAGAAATGGTTCATCTGGTAATAATGTTTAAAGTATTATATGGCAAGTGACAAAAATAGGCCATTGTTCATTAGCTTCATAATCACGCTTAGTTTTAGAAGAAATAAATATTTATGTTGGAGTGTAGAGGGGATACGGTATAGGAAAAGAGCTTCTCAGGGACTTCCGCTGGTCAATTGGTACACCTTGTTAACTCGTTACAAGATTGGCAGCTGGTCCAGTCCTACTTAAGTGTAATTACAATGTGTCTTTTCTAGTTCTCACATATGCAGCTCTGATTTTTTCTTTCTTTTTTTTTTTTCTTCTTTTATATTGTAATTCCTACATTTGTTTTTGCAGGCCTTCAACTCAGAAACAGACAGTTTCAAGCTCTCTTACGGAGGACACCAATATCATGCGAGCTGTGCAAATTTCTGGATCAACTGTGTAGAGCCTAAGCCACCCGGCCTTTTCCTTCCAGATCTATTATAGTAACTTTGTCTAATCACAAATGACCGAGGAAAAGTCTTACTGCAAGATTGTGGGACTGCCCTAAAAATACCCTGACCGCTGCCAATTGCAGATCTGTGTAAAACCTATGCTGCTGAATGTCTCTGGTATTGTGAACATTGCATAAAGTGCAATTCATTTATGAAATTACATTAAATTATTTATAAATAGTTGTGAAATATAAGTATACTTTAGACCATTTCCATTGTAACCTCCCCATATTTTGATTGTGGTTTCTTGGTCAGTAAGGCAAAATATTTATAATTTTCTAAGAGAGCTCCTGCCTTTACTAACTTTTTTAACTCCAGGTACAAAGCTTATGTATGCTGGTTTCATAAGGCTTGACATATTTTAAAAACAATATAGGTGATAGTAAACTGTGCCTAGTCACACTATTGAGTTGACTAGAAGAGAAAATGCAGGGTTTAAAAACAAAACAAAACTAAATATCAGCGTTGGATTTCTGTTTGCTTTAAATGTGTAGATAATGTTTTACTTTCAACCTGTGTGTGTCTCTCTAATTTTCATGCAATTTTATGAAATTCTTTTATGTGCTACATTTTGATTATAGCTATAGAACATTGTGTTGGAGAGCTGTTACCAATTCTAGTATGTCTGATATTAAAATAACTTTTTTAAGCAGTTAATGAATAATTAACTGGTCAATAAATCATATAAATAGTAGAAATTAAGATTATCTAATTTTCTTTCTGGTTTTATCGTCACCTCATCCTAGGATGTCACATTCAAGTATTCAACAAAGTATTTTACTAAAAATAAGGCATTAAATGTCCATGTATAAAGTACCATTAGCCAAACATATACATTTTGACCGTTTATTGGGCATTTTTTATTTAGCGATATAGTTCTTTCATTCTTCAGCATTCAAAGGATAGCATTTGTGTAAATCTTCTAGAGTCCATTTTAGAAGGCAAAGCTGTTTTGTATTTAACATAATGTCTGTTGATTATGATCATGATCCCAAAATTGTGATGGTAACTGTACACCCTGAATTGCTGCTTTCTTAGGTGCAGAGGGGTGACTTACCGTTCCAGCAACAGGCTGGTTAAAAGGACTGTCCTTTGTTGAGCTGCAATGACACTATTGTGCTTCAAGCTAAATGATGGTATCCTTGGAAACTGTATCCACGGTGACTTGTTCTTTCCACAGACATTACCAGTGAAGATACTTCATTCAGTGTCCATATTAACAAATGTTTGTTTAGTTTCGTTATGGTTTCTTTTCATAATCAAAAAATGGTTATTAGCATGGCCTCCAGTTTTAAATGTTCTTGTCATAAAGCTGCCCCTTTATAGTAAAATGAGAAAAATAATAAAAAAAAAAAATCTTACTCCTAATATTTTTATTTTTTTTTAAAGTGGTATTCAGGTGTAGTTTCACATACTGTATTCAAAACCAAGAATACAAATTGTAAATATTTTGATACAAGCAGTGTGTGCAGTGACATTAATTTGTCTCCTCAGTCACAACTTCTAAATACAATTTAATGCAAGTTACATTTAACCCAATAAATTCAACATCCTAAACCCCCTTAAATAACAGTTAATGATGTGGGCTGGTAAAGCAAGCTTCTGTTCCAAAATAAGATGAACCACTCCATTAAGGCGTCATGGTGCTACCAGAATTAAATAAGCAAGACATCCCATCTTGGCATAAGAATTCGGAAACAGATTGTGATGATGGCAAACTGTGGTATTTGGTCCTTAAAAGGGATCTGTCTCTTTACACCACTGAATAAAACTTCGTCAATCACCTATAACCTGTGAGAACTTTTTTTTTTTTCATGAGCTGCTCTGATTGATTTTAAGTTTATTTTAAAAATATTAAATATCCTGGGAAGTGACGGTCCCCCTTTTAAGAGTTTGTTTCTTGTCCTTTATGATATACGTTTTTTAATGTTTCTGTACCTGCATTCAAGACAGTCAAGCCCATTCCTCTGTTTGTTTTTCTTCCTAATGAGACGTATGTAGTGCGTCTTTAAATTTCCCAGTTGTAATATCCAGAGGCTATACTGATCTAAATGATGTGTTTAAACCTGATTCCTAAAAAAAATATTCAATCTTGTTCAAATATGGCCTTACTTCTAATGTAAAGTTGATGGGTAAAATATTGTCAAACTAGCACATTAATGTTAGGTACGTTTAATGGCTTGTACATACTAGTACTAGTAAATACATTAACATGGCTACCCATGTTCAACAGTTAGTGGCATTTCTTAAGGATTGTTACTAGTCTGGAAGTAGTTTTCTGTCACAAGACAATGGTAATAGTGGTAATATTTGCTAGATTCCCTGCAGTATCTTTAAGTTGAGCTATTAGTTTGTTTTATTGTGTTCAACCATTTAAAAAAAAATAAAAAATATGAGCCAATGTTACTTACATAGATAGAGAAGTGTTTTAATGTATTGAGCAGTGGGTTCTTATTCTCACTTTAAAGGGTTACTCCAAGCATCATAAGCACTACCAACATAAGTACCCTAGTCTGTTTACTCAGAAATATGGCAAACCAATTAGGAATGGCTTGCTCTCTTACGTGGGCCTCAGCCAGGCAACAAGATTATTTTGTGGCTCCGGTGACTTGCTTTTGGCTTTAACAAAGTTGCAGAAGCCTTAAACTGATCCAGTCGTCATTCATTGGCTGAAATGTCAGCTGACCACTCTCAGCCAATGAATGGCACACTGTGCATGAAAATGTTCACAGAATTTACATTGGCCAGCCCTGAACTCTTGCTCAATTTCCATTAGCCAGCCTTCTTTTTAAATTGTGTTTCTCATCCAGTAAAACACGTTTATAGAACTGTGATCTGCAAGCTAAACTGTTAGCACTTCCTAAATGCCACATTCCACAAAGGTTTGTGTGTGTATACACACCAACAGCCTTCCAGCTGAAGTGGTAGAGGTTAACACAGTGAAGGAGTTTAAGCATGCGTGGGATAGTCATAAGGCTACAAGATAAGGCCAGAGACTAATGAAAGTATTTAGAAAATTGGGCAGACTATATGGGCCAAATAGTTCTTATCTGCTATAACATTCTGTGTTTCTATAACACTCACAATATGTGTTTTAAAAAAGTTGTTTCCCTGAACCTGGCCTTTTCTTCACTTTTCAATGTTTGATTCATTATCAACAGTCTTTTATAGATGTCTGTTCATTCCCATCCTTTAACATACTCCAGGACTAGTGCCATGGTATAAGGTATATACTCTTTAAGGCAAAAGAAATGAATGTATCACTAATCCAGGATTGATCTGTAGATTATTACATTTTAAAGTTACTTATTTAAGTATATGTTATTTCTGTTTCATTTATCTGTTTGAAACACTGTCCAATGCTGGAGGATTAACGTACCATGGACCAATTCTTCTTCTCTAAATTGTATACAATTCATGTACAAGTGCAGTATCATTTTTGGTTGATTTTGTTTTAAAATTGTTTCTTTATTTAGCTATCTATTGAATTTTCATTGTGTATGGTGATTATTTATATCTTTGCTGCCTGCTGTGAAATTTTATCTTCAATTGTTGTTTGAAGGTTTATGGACTGCATTTTGTTTGATGTTTTAATAAAGATCAGACTTCTTAACTGGCAATCATTTATTAACCCTTCAAGGTCCTTTAGGATGTCAAATGCTATACCGGAAAAAGTGGGTCTTTGTGTCCTTTGGACGGTATAGACTATCCTGTAGTATCCTGTAGCCAGGAGAGGTAAATCCCTGGTCCTAGCAGAGGGATTCAGGTATCCAGATTTAGTGGCCCCAAGCTGACGAATGGCAAGTAATGAATTCTCACTGTAAGCACTGTCACATCCATTTGGAATAAAGTCTCTGAAGTTCTGTTTGGCCTCACCACTGCAACGTTATCAATAAAATGTCTTGGTACCATTGATATCAGGGAAAGACTGATGAGGGCTACCGGTAACCCCTCTGATTATATTATTTGTGTGATCAGTCACATAGAGAGGGGCTGTAACTTTGTGACAAGTTCTGTGGGCTGTGAAGGAGCTCAGCTAGACATGGGAAACAGTGTGTTCTCCCTTGGAAGCTCAGAAATCATCAGCTACCCTGATGATGATGATGATCCCCTGCTAATAGGAGGTCTATGTGTTCTAAGAAGAAACCATGTGGGAGGCCACCGCCACAGTCACGATATACGTTAACCACAAAGAACAGGCCTATAAGATTTTAATGTGCTGGTTCTCATCCCCATTAGGCTAAAATAGATGAGTAGTTCTGACTCAGAACTATGCAAGAAAGGCTGTGGACGCAAGGGTACCTATTACCATCCATGGTGGTAATGCACTCAAACAGCTCAGCTATGGACAAGAGTCTCACATTTAGCCTCCAAAATCTTATACACAGACATCCAACAGGATCCCTGGTTCTGGTTCTGATCTGGTTACCTTCCAAACCATACCAAGAGATTACTAGAGCCCAAAACAAACTAATAGCAAGAAAAGCGCTTGCAACCAGAAGGGTGATAGTGGAGAACTGGGGCGTCTCTGAGGTTCCTACTTTGAAGGCAGTGACACGCAAAACTGAGGAGGCAATGTAGATTGACACGCTTTCTTTTTTAATCCACGACACAATTAAACCTAAATCCAAGGATCCCATATTTTGTTTAAATAAGTTCCCACTCCCAGCTTAGGGACTCTGTTCCAATGGGGGGTCATTGTACTCCATTTTCTTCCCTGTCCTTTCTCTTTAGTGAATAAACCCCACAATGTCAATTACAGAAAGATGCTGTGAACTTTGGCTGCCAGTAATGTAGGCCAGAAGGGGAGCAAAAATAGATGTAAGCATTTGTGCAGGTCCAGGTGTATGAGAGCTTAATGAGGCTGATGATGTGCTGAGAATAAATGAATTGCTCTTTGAGAGACGTGCGTGGTGCTGGCCAGTAGGAGATATGGCAATTAAAGCGAAGTGATCAAAGCTAATAATATAGAGTTTGCTGAATATGAAGTAAGGAGTGTGTGAAATGTCATAAAAATTGGTACTATTTTATGTATGTTTCCATTTATCATATCTAGGATAAAACTACAGATCTGTCACTCATACCGCCCTAAAATCACTCCAGTATGCAAAGTTAACACGCTTCCTAAATGTAGACCCGCCTCTTCTGAAAGGCCTGCAATCTTACAACCTTTGAAACACTGCAAAACCCATAATGTCCCCTATTACGTTGTCAGGGCTATGCAAATGTACGCAACTCAGAACTATGCAGAAAAGGCTGTGGATGCAAGGGTACCTATTACCATCTATGGTGGTAATGCACTCAAACAGCTCACACCTGATGGCTATGTCAAATTATCCAAAGGTACTAGACTAGAGTGGTGCTTATGGTCAAAACCATAACAGGACTCCAAATTCCCCACACTCCAGGAAGCGCTGGTTTGCGTGTTATATCCCCATGCCTTTACCAAATCTCAACACATTCCTATTGCTCATCTACTAACAGCGGTGAACCTACTTATTCCCACTAAGTGGAAAAACCTTACTGTTCCATCCACGAGAGAATGGATCCAACCCCCCCACAGCAAGATATAATTCCTCCTTGTTTATTTAAGTAGTCCTCTGAAGAGTACTCCATGTTATACCTAGCAAAGTCTATCCATTCCTTACTCCCCCTCCTCCGATCTCCCCCACAAGTTGGCAGAATGAGACTCAGTACAAGCCTCTCGGGACTTATTAGACTTATTGATGTAAATATTGTTTTGTTATTTTATGTTACGGGCACACCATGCTATTGATAAGTCTTGTTATTCTGGCTTACCCATATAACTGGTATATACCATACGCCTAGCACCGGACTAATCTACATGTAAACAAATACCTCACTTTTAGTGTGATGCTGTCTCCTCGCACCTGCAAACCAAAACTTTTTCATTATCGACTATTTAAGCCATAGCGTTCAGCCAGTTAAAGAGACACTATAGGCACCCAGATCACTTCAGCTCATTGAAGTGGTCTGGGCACAGTGTCCCTTTTGCACTTATTGCTGCAATGTAAAACATTGCAATTCCAGAGAAACTGCAATGTTTACATTGCAGCTCTAAGTTTGCCCTCAGTGGCTGTCTACCAGACAAGACAGACACTGGGTGCGCTTCCTGGATCAAAACTGACCTTTGGTCCGGTAAATACAGCTTTGTATTCCTGGCACTAAAGTATCCCTTTAACTTCATACTACCTGAACCTAATAGCCACGGAAGTCAATAATACTAATTACTAATATTACATATATTAAAACGCTTCAACAATGTAATCCTAAGTGAAGAACACTAGGTGTATACCTGTTTGCTAACCATGAATGATGTTCTAATTACCATGTAGCCATCTGCTGCCTGACTCTCTCACCTTTCCATTTTCTGTAACGACCTCTTTCATATTTTGACTGTATCACATGGTATTGTACTTCCTTGAAATTGCAATAAAATCTTTAATAAAAATAAACTAGAGTTTAGTGGGGACTTATCTGTAGGAACACTTAAGGCAGCACCCCACAAGATAATCATTGACTTCGGGAAAGGGTTAACTTGCAAATTCTTTTTATAAATGGTAAATATACACCATACAGCACTGCAGTTCCTTCTCCTCAGTGACTGATTCACTTAAATGAATAATGGTTGCCTGGCAAAGTTGTTAAGGAAACAGGGCATGTGTAGTATTTAGGTCATTTTTAAGATTGTCTCAGAGAGCACCTAAGACATGCTTGCTATGCCCGTAGAGGTGATTTTTAAAGTACCCCACTGAATTGGACACCCAGTGTAATGTAATAGTATACTATAGTTTAGAGTGCACTTATCTTAGAACGCAAAGTTTTTTTGTGTGTTTTTCGCTCTTTCTGTACACATCAGATTCAGGGGTTGTGATTTCATTGTGATTTGTTTTTTGTCTGCTCATTAGGCTTGCATAAGTATCACGTAGTTATTAAATATGTTATATTTAATGAATGCCCTTATTGTTAACAAACTACGTTAATTTTACTTTTTTATATATATTTTATTTTATACTGTGGAGTGAACATGCAAGAGTGATTAAATTTAATATCTTATATGTTATATAATTACAGCATGTAATAAAGCAAATAATGTTTAGTTTTATCTGATTTAGTAGATATCATGAAAAAAGAGGGAAGAAAAGGTGAACACAACAATATTTGAGCTCAGGTTGGCAAGCAATTAACCACTAGGCTACAGGGAAACACAAGCTAGATCTCAGTTTCAATATTAGTACTGTGTGTCTGCAGTTAGCGTGTCATTCAATAGGAACACTATGTGCCTTCTGGAAATGTCTTTCTCATGTCAGCTCTTTGTGTGTCTGCTAAAAAAAAAAAAAATACAGTGAGGTCCAGATATATTTGGACACTGACACAATTTATAAAATGTTGGCTCTGTACACCACCACAATGCATTTGAAATTAAACAACCTAGATGCAATAGAAGTGCTCCCAACTTTAATTCAAGGGGCTGAACAAAAATATTGTATGAAACGTTTAGGAATTGCAACTATTTTCATGTAGGGTCCCCTTATTTCAGGAGCTCAAATGTAAATGGACGAATTAACACAATCCTAAATAAAATGTGGATTTTTAACACTTTGTCGAATACTTGTATTCAAGTGTTCTTTTAAAAAATAGATTTGTCTGAGCTGATAATTGTCATTTCCTATTCTAACATACATTATTAAAAGCAAAAATAAGGTGCGCTAAAATTTGAAGTGCAAAATCATTTAACAGCATAAAGTGCAAATTTATAGTGCAATGTCATTAAGCAGTATAAAGTGCAATAAACTCTCACTCACATGTGATACAATTTGTATTAATAATCAACTATTATGTGTAAAAATATCCAGTAGTGCAAGCTGCAAAAACCACTTAAAGTGATATTGTGCATAAAAAAAATAAAATATAATAACTTACACTATCAGCAATGTCCATATGAGTCACAGCTCCAAATATAGGAACATAAAAGGAACAAAAGGCATATATAGTATGATATTGTAAAATATAAGTGATTAAAAATCTGGGTGAGATAGGAAATAAACTCACAAGCATAGAGCAGATGAGTCCGCTCTAACTATGATAGCCCAAATATATAGACTTCCACTGTAGCCAGTATAAATAGGTGAACAGCGTTTATTGAAACAAATTCAAATGCTATGAAGCAGATATCACCGGGTCCCTTGTAGCAAACAGTCCTGGCTTTGGATGCGTGCAGTTGCCAAGAACACGAATTTTCATCTAGACCGATTTCTTTGAACACTAATCTATTGTGTGGAAATCAATAACAAGAAAAAGAAAACCAAATAAATCTCAAGTTGTTATGTCTATGTGAGAGCCAGCAATTTATATTAAGACTTAATTTTTAATATAGTAAGTTAAAAATAAGTAGAATTTTATATAGCAAGAGTGGTGAAAACATATAATGAAAACAAGTTGGTTTTCCTACACAAGGGTATGTGCTGGGCTTTGGGCTTTAATAATTAGTTAATGATTTAGCGATTAGAATAGGAGTAACTGCAGTTTAAGTCACTAAAATAAAATAAATAGATATATTGCTGCAAATCCTATCAGCTCCTTTACCCACTAATTCTACACTTGCACAAAACAAAAATAAATACCCAAACTGCCCATAATTTCTATAAATAAATAAGAGGAAAATCAATGATAGGTAGCTATAATGTCAGTTGCCACAGCTAAATAGACGATCATGACATGCTGACAGGATTTACTACCCGAGCCCCTGAGGCGCGCGTTTCACCAGTTAGCTTATAAGAGGGGAACCGTATCAAATGCCTTGGCAAAATCCAAATAGATCACATCCACTGCAACACCCTAAACTCTACATCTACTTACTTCTTTGTAAAAATGCAATCAAGTTAGTTTGACATGACCTGTGCTTCATAAAACCATGCTGATTTTTGCTGATAACCATGTTCTTCTCAAGGAATTCTTGAATATTATCCCTTAATAACCTTTCAAATATTTTACCAGCCACAGAAGTTAAGCTCACATATCTAAAATTTCCAGGCAGGGATTTTGAACCCTTTTTGAATATAGGAACCACATCTGCCTTCCTCCAATCCTCCTGCAGGGCCGGACTGACCCACCGGGATTCCGGGAAATTTCCCGGTGGGCCGGCACACTAAGGGGCCGGTGCGCGGCCGCCTAGTGTGCACCAGCCCGGGCTGCAATTACAGGATGACCGGCAGGAGGGAATACGCTCCCCTCCTGCCGGTCATAGAATGTAGCGTGGCCGAGCAGGCAGACCGCGGTAGGGGAGCTTCTGTTCCCTTACCCGGTCTGACAGGAACCTGCAAGAGAGAACGCTCCTCCCGTGAGCAGGCAGGTTGGACCGTTGCTGTGGGTTACCATGGCAACGCTCCGACCTGCCTGCTGTTCTCGCGGTAGGAGAGCGAAGCCAGAGGAGCTGCAGGCTGAACACCATGCGCCACCACTGGACCACCAGGGATCGAAGAGTAGCCGTCCCCCCTCTCCTCTGACCAAAAGTAAGGTGGGAGGGGGGTAAAATGAAGTTTTTAAAAATATATATCAATGCCCATACACACACACTACACCCCCACCAACAGCACCCTCCCCCACCCGGCGACCCCACACCCCACCAGCACCCCTCCCCACCAGCAGCACCCTCCCTCAACCAACAGCACCCCTCCCCACCAGCAGAACCCTCCGCACACAGAACCCCTCCGCCACACACCACCAGAACCCCTTCATACACAGAACCCCTCCATGCACACAGAACCCCTCCAGCTCACAGAACCCCTCCCGCAGCTCACCCAGGGGAACCCTCCACGCACACAGGCCCCTCCATGCTCACAGAACCCCTCCATGCACACCCAAAACCCCTCCACGCACACAAAGCCCTCAGCTCACCTGGAACCCCTCCCGCGCACAGAACCCCTCCGCGCACAGGAGCCCCTCCAGCACACAGGGGCCCCTCAAGCACACAGAACCCCTCACGCTTTGGAACCCCTCCAAGCACACTGGGGGCCTCCGCACACAGAGCCCCCTCCCGCACACAGAACCCCTCCACGCTGAGAAC